ATAATAAAAGCATGGATTATAACGTAATTAGCCTATCTAAAGAATTGAACTAAGCTATATAAATAAATATAAGTGTGTGTCTAGGCATAGATATATAGATGTAAAATCAATGCAGTTCTGTAGCAATCATAAATTGTTCTTCATTGAGTTATTGGTGAGATCATTAGCCAGATATTTTTATAGAAAATAGTATAGTGCTCTTGTTTTAGTAATTTCTAATGATGTGGTTGAAAGAAGTAAGGTCTTGGGAGTCCAATATGGGTTTAGATTCTAAAACTGTAGCTAATTTCTTATTGACTGATGTTTTCCAAGTTACTTAACTGCTTTACTTATCAAGTTTCTTTACCCGAAAGCTGTTTTTAGAATGGCTGAATTTAAAAAGACTTTCAATATCAAGTACAGACAAGGATTTGAAGAATTTGGAACTGTAACACTTTGCTGAAGTAGTGTCAAATAGAATGGCTAACTTGGAAAGCAGTTTTTTTTAAAAGTTAAACATGTACTTACCATCAGACCAAGGAATTTCACCGCCAAGTATTGTCTGGAGAAAAAATAAACATATGCTTACACAAATACTTCTATGTGGATGTTTATAGCAGTTTTATTCATAATTATTTAAACCTGGAAACAACTGAAATGTATATCAACTAATATTAGTAGATAAACAAATGGTGGTATATCCATATAATAGCAAGGAATGGACTGCTGAGACATTCAACAAAATTGTTGGCTATTATAATTTTTATGCTGAGTGATTCTAGTGCCATGTTTAATGAAAAAAGCAAATAAAAATATTTATGCTATGTTAAATAAACCTGACACAAAAATGTGCAAACTGAATAATTCCATTTATAATGACATCTGGAAAAAGCAGAACTATAAGGACATAAATCAGGTAAGTAGTTACCAAGGGGTGAGATAGAGAAAGGGTATTGACTACAAAGGAGAATTGGGGAATATTTTGGGATGATGGAAATATTCTGTATCTTGTGTTGGTGATTATATGACTGTAAAATTTGTCAAAATGTTGAATTTTACAGTGTATAAATCATCTCAGTAGAAAGGAAATAAAAATGTTTTATATTTCAGGGTAATTATGGAAATTATAAAAGATCATTCTTCTTCCCCATGTTGTCTTCTGTTTGGTTCTTCCTTATTCTCTGCTTCTTCTATGTTTCGCAAATTTAAGATCTGTGATGAATTGCTCTTTCTTATTTCAGGGCTATTATGCTACAACAAAATTTAGGTCTGTCTGTCTTGATCTGCAGTCCCCATGTTGGACTTTAAATGAAGTCATCAACTTTATTTTTAAAGTTCTGGATGTCAATTAGTATTGAATAACTCAGAGCTGACATTTTTATACTTTGTAAAATATGCCAATAATACCCGCTTCACATCAATTCCTTTTTGTCCTGTGGCAGTGGGAGTACACCGTATGGTTAGGAGGATATGCAAAGCAGTCTTGGATTCTGAGCCTGAGTTCTGCCTGAGAAAGCTTTCCTCTACTTCTCTGTAAACCATGTTCTATGCCAGTGGTGCTAAAATATGAGCAAGCATTAGAACTACCAGGGAGGACTTAAAACATAACTTGTTCACTCCGCCGTCCCCCTGCCCTATTTACTGATTTTATAGTTCAGGACCCAAAAATTACCATTTCTAACAAACTTTCAAGCAATGTTGATGATGCTGGTTTTGGATGCACCCTAATAAATACTAATTTATACTTCTTTTGTTGCAGTGTCAAAATTCAGCCCATGTATGGGAGCCAACATTTTGGTTTTAACTGCTTCATCATTTCATGGCACGTGTGTGTGTGTGTGTGTGTGTGTGTGTGTGTATACATACGTACATACACACAGAGAATGAGACTGTGTATGAATAGCAAACACTTGGATAGAGGCCACAAAGGCTTGATGTCTGTAAGATAGAAAAATGGTACTGGCAAGAGAAAAAGGAAAAAAGATGTGCAGCTGCACATTCTTTTAATCTCCTGAGTGTCATTATACTACATCATAATTGTTGTATCCCTTTGGCAATAAACTCCTTTCAGGTTACTATTCTATTTTAAAAAATCTGAACTCTTTTATTTATTTTTGTATTGGGGATGGAATACAGAGATGCTGTACCACTGAGCTATACCCCAGCCCTTTTAATTAATTTATTTATGTTTTTTTGAGATAATCTCACTAAGTTGCCCAGGCTGGCCTTGAACTTGTGTTCTTTCTTCATCAGCCTCCTCACATGCTGGGCTTACAAGTGTGTGCCACTGTACCTGGCTGAAGACTCTTATTAGGTCTCCTGTGGCCATCAGCCTACAGTATTCACAACTGAGACTTTTCATTGACTAGTTTGTAATAAATAGGCCCTTCTTCCTCACACTGAAATTTCATGGTTATTTCCTCCCCCATCCAAGATCAATAGAAATTTTTACTGAATGAAACCAAAGTACCATAAACTGCATGATTTGATAACATTCTGAGATGTGTGGGTGACTGATTTGTGTCAAATAATTTCCTAGACCAAGAAAGAAAAAATCCTAATGATTTTAATAGCACTAGATGTAACAGAAATATGAATAAAACCTAGAATTTTAAAAACATTTTGTAAATGTTAAATTTAAAGAAGTCACAGATTGTTTTTTTCTTCTTCCCAAATGCCAAAGAAGATATTGACACCAAATTCCAAAGCAGATATTGAGGGCTATCTATATAAATTTGTTCAGAATTCCTACTATGTTAAGGTTGTAGATTATGCTGTGCAGTAATGAGATCTGCTGATTATTCTCTGTGATAGATTAAATATAGTATATTATGCTTAGAGTTGATGTCCCTTTAGCCCTCTACCACCACGTCACTGATTATTGAGAGTCTTTATAGAAAATAGCTTATTGCATTGGGTGATTACATGCTTCAATTGAATAGTAGCTTACTGCCAATTATCATTACAATGCCATATTGATTTTTCTCCCTTCCATTATGGAAATTAAAGCAGAATTTGTTTAAAGTTAGCATCCATATATATTATAGATGTGACTAGCTCTGAAAATGTGCTATTTCTAAATGTACTTTCTTCAGTGATCTGGTCATTCTTACTGATAGGTTCTTATAAATGTAGATCTCTCCTATGTTGGTAAGCTTTACCTTAGGTAGGGATGAAGTGGATAAAGACTGTGGAATGGAAATATGTGCATGGTTTAACTATTTGAAGTATGAGGCTGATGATGTTGCTCTGTAGTAGAATACTTGCCTAGCATGAAGGAAGCCCTGGGTTTCATCCCAGCACCGGCGCGGGGGGGGGGGGGGGAGAATAGACCATAGATTTTAATCATTGTTTCACAGAAATCTGCTATATATTTATTTTGATGTATGAACTTCTTGGGCAACATGAGACTGCTTATTCTCTTAACTACACACATTAGTAAATTTATTAAATTTAAATTAGTCAACAAATATTCATGGACTACATATAAACTACTATGGTAAGTGAAATAGTAGCTAGAAAGATAAATGAAATAATGTACTGTATTTAGAGAATTCATAACCCAAAGGGGTGGGTAAGCCATGTGTGTCAAGAATCATAATGTCAGTGAGGGTTCTTAACAAAAAGAATTTGTATATTGTTAGAGGACTTACAGGGGGAAGACATTAATGGTTCAAAACAGTCCTTTTGAGCTTTGAAGGTTTATTGAGATGGTGTTGGGGTGACCTTTTGGAAGAAAGAATAAATGAACTAAAACAAGGAATTGCAGGTAGTACTACAGGAACAATAATTTGTTTGATTTTATTGGTACATATAGTATAAGGTCTTAGGCTAGAAAGTTAAACTGAGGCTAGATTAGAATGTTGGGCCAAATTATTTATATGTATTAGGTAGTTCAGGGGAAATTGTTGGAAAAAAGACTATGATTAAATGCAATTTAATCTGGCAGTTAACAAAATGAACAAAAGAAAAAATGAAGCTACAGAGACCTCATTTGGGAGTCTCCAGGTATATAAAGGAAAGGTTAATAGGGCTAAACTAGACTGTTAGCATAGACAACAATAACAAGGAAGGAGGGGGCATTTGAGAAATAATTCTAGAAAATTTATGCCTGGATGCCATAAAGTTAGATCAAGTTCTATTTAATCTGTCTTCTAGCCTTGTACCATACATGGTATTTGATCTCCTTAGTCATTCCTCTCCAATGCACTGATCTCCTCACAGTCTTTGGAGCATTTCAAACATACTATTTAACACCTCAGGAAACAGTTTGCCTTTCATCCTGTACTGAAAAATTCTTCACTTCCTTCAGGGCTCTGCTCAAATGTTACCTTAACTGAGGACCTTTTGCTGACCACACATTGAAAAGTAGCATCTTGGTTCTCCATTTTATTTAATTTACCAATTGTTATTTTTCTTCCTTGCATCAATGCACTGATATTTATTATAGTTGGTTATTTGTTATCACCTGTCTCCCTCTTTCTACATGGTTGTCTTCATGAGTGTAAAGGGCTTAGTTTTGTTGTCTATCATAGCTCGGTCACCTAAAACATGCTTGGTATAGACACTCAGCAAATATTTGCTGAATGCACAAACAGAACAAATGCAAAGGGGAAGTAGAATGGGAGATCAAACAATTATGGAATATTTCAAGTATGAAGGATTCAAAGGGTCATAATGTTATTAACAGAATGTTGTAGAATAGAAGAGGAGTTGATTTAGAGGATTGGAAATGGGAAGATAAATTCAGCACATAAATTCAGACTTAACTATATGATCGTAGTGAAACAACCAAGGCAGTGCTGTTTAGTGGGCAATCAAAAATGTGAAGAAAGTTCTTGGATTTAGGAAAAGATCTCTGAGTTATGCATATACAGTCAGTATTTGAATCAGTATCAGCAGAGAAAACAATAGTAAGATAACATTATCAGAAATGAAAATCAAAATGTCATTCTGAATATTTAATGTCTTAAATACATGAATTTAATCATACTTTTTTTGTTTGTGTGTTCTTTTTATAGTTGGGTTAACAACTTTGGACATGAAGGTCTTGGGCTCTTATTGGATGTTCTGGAAAAGATTCTGGACAAAAAACTGTAAGAATAAACATTAAAAATTTTTCATCAAAGGGGAAAATTTGAAGTACAACACCTTATTATTTTTTTCTTAGGCAAGAAAATATTGACAAGAAGAATCAATATAAACTCATTCAGTGCCTCAAAGCATTTATGAATAATAAGGTAAGTAGTATTTTCTTCTGCCTTTGTTACAAAAGGGGGAAACTTGCTTGACAATGTGAAAGTATGAAACAGATGAGATAGTATTTATTTAATTTACAAAATGTCTTTATGATGCAAATCATAAGTTTCATTGAAAGACTATTTAAAATATACTTTTGTTTTATACAGTATTCATTAGTAGGTATTGCAATCATGTAAACATATCAGTCTTGTTTTCAAATTAGAAATACTTTTATTTTTCTTTTACTGTAGCAGTTAAAGGTCATAAGTTGGAATACTATTTCTATACGGTTTTTATTCCATTGAAAAAGAAAATTTAATGGTCAGGTTTGACTTGGTTTCTATGAACATCATAAAGTTAATATTCTCTTTTATGTTCAGTAAATGTCATTTATGAGCATTATGGTTTGTAAATGTGATGCCCCCCCCAATCCTTTGTGTGAACGCAGGAACATTCAACGGTGAAATGATTGGATTGTGAGAGCTCTAATTTATTTAGTCCATCCTAGTTTGAATGGACTGACGGGGTAGTAAGTGTAGGTAGGTGGGGTGTGGCTGGAAGAAGTGGATTACTGCATCATGCCCTGGAAAGGTTCATCCCTGCATCCCCATCCCATCCCATCCCATCCCACTCCACTTCCTTACTGCCTAAAGGAGAACAGCTTACCACTGCCACACTCTCACACTCTTTCCCCATGGTGTGCTGCCTTATCTTGGGCCCAGAGCAATGGACTTGCCCACCTATGAACTGGACTTCTAATATCATGAGCCAAAGTTAATGTTTCTTCCTCTAAGTTAATCTTTTCAGGCATTTTGATCACAGTGACACAAAAGCTGACTAAAACAGAAATTGGTACTGAGAAGTAAGATCATTGCTGTGACTGATCTGACAACGTGGTTCAAAAGCATTTGGAAATGGTTTGTGGGATAAATTTGGAAAAGTTTGGAAATGCATGCTGGAAAGCCTTAGGATATTTTAAACAGAGCTTAATGGATGATTCTGATGGGAACCCAGAAGACCAGAATGCTGATAAGAGTGAGAGCTATGATCTTGAGGTTTCAGAGAAAAATGAAGACTTTGTTGGGAATTGGACTAGAGGCCTTTTAATGTTACATTCTGGCAAAGGACCTGTGTACAATTTATTTGTGTCCTGAGACTTTGTGTCAAGCTTAATTTAAAAGTGATGAACTAATTAATCTGTCAAAGGAAATTCAAGGCAGCACAGCATTCAGTCAGTGGCATAGATATTGCTGGCAGCTTTTAGCCAGGTTTACTGTGACAAACAGGAGCAGATAGCAGAAGTGAAGTATTTTAAAAACCTGTAGTTTGACCAAAAACATGCATGTACAATTAATGCCAAGAGAGTTGTGCTTGTTGAAGATATTATGGTACCTATAGAGACCCTAAATACATCACAGAGAAAATAGGAAAGATTGCTTGAGGACATCTCAGGAATTTACATGACCATAACCCTTGTGGGCTCTAGGGTGTAGAAGGGAAAGTTCCTTTGAGAAGAGATCACTGGGATTCACAGGGGTACCTAGGAAGTTGTACTCAGCCATCCAGAAACTCAGAGTCTGTAGAAGCCATGATTCCACAGGGCCCAGGTATTGTAAGAGCTGGGCTGGCAGCAGACCTTGTTGTCATCCATGTCGTGTTGGTTCTTCAGGAATACAGGATGCTAAAGTTAAGGGGTCATGGATGCTTACACTAAGATTTAAAAGGAAGGCCTGGGAGGCAAGGGAAAGTGTAACACCATCTGTCTATGAGAGGGCAATGCATGAAGCTGTAAAAGTGAAGCCAAAGCTGAAATGGAGACCCTAGGAATTAGGAGATTCCAGTAACATGGACTATCAGCCTAGAAAAGCTGCTGGCTATGAGCAAGCCATGTTAAAAGATAGCCCAAGTGCACTGTAACTAGCCAGACCAAAGAGGGGAGGGGTAGGGCTGCCCAAGTCCTTCGGAGAGTACATCTTATGGGTATGTGACTTGCTATAAGCATATTTAGAGGACTTGTTTGCCTGGCTGACTTTAGACTTGTTTTAGCCCCACCTTTTTTTTTTTTTTCTGTGCTCCTATTCCTCCCTTTGGAATGGGAGTGATTATGCTGTGCCACTATATTGGATAAATGTAACTTTCTTTTGATATTTATAGGAGCTCATAACCAAGAGACCAAGAGTTTGCCTTGAGTCTCAGAAGAGACTTTGTTTGTTTGTACTGGGGATTGAAGTGGGGCAGGGGCGCTTAACCACTGAACCACATCCCCAGTCCCCTTTTAAAATATTTTGAGACAGGTTCTTGCTGAGTTGATTAAGGCCTAACTGAGTTGCTGAGGCTAGCTTTGAACTCGAGATCCTCTTGCCTTAGCCTCCCGAGCCACTGGAATTACAGGTGTTGTGCCACCAGGCCGCCTCAGAAGAGACTTTGAACTTCACTTTTGGGAAGTATGGGAACTCTTCAGACTATGGGAGTCTTTGGGATAAACTAAATGTGTTTTGCATTGTGAGAAGAACATGAGCTTTTGGGGGCGGAATGTTATGGTTTGCATGTGAGGTGTCCTCCAAAATCTCTTGTATTAGTGCAGGAATATTCGGAGATGAAATGATTGTCAGAGATGTAGTCCAATCAGTCCATACTAGTTTGAATGTATTCAGTGGATTTTAACTGTAGGCAGGTGGGATGTGTCTGGAAGAGGTGGGTCATTGGAAGGGAAGGTTGCATCTGCTCTGTAGCCCCTTTGCTCACCTCTCTGCTTCTGTGCTACCATGAGAGGAGAAACTTCCCTTTGTCCTGTCCTTCCCCCATGATATGCTGCCTCACTCTGGGCCCAGAGTAATGGCGTCACCTGTCTACTGTGAGCCAAAATAAATGTTTCCTTCTCTAAGTTGTTTTTGTCAAATATTTTGGTGTCAGTGATGCAAAAGTTGACTGAAACATTAATGACATCTCTGGAAGACAGCAGGGCTTTATTTTTTGTATAATACCAGTTGGGTAATTAGGAAGTATATAAATTTTAGGCTTTTAGTGTCTTAGAAATGATGTAACTTATATACCTACAAGTAAAATACTATTGATTAATTCACTTAATTACATAATTGCCTTTAGATGGCATTCTATAATCTCAAAGTGCCTAACAGAGATATGTAATTATATGGAATCTTGCCATATGTGAAATAAAACTATTAATAACCAATGAAATAAAATTTTGTATTTAAGGAATCTGCAGTATTTCTTAGGCATATGAAGTTATATAATCATATATATTTTATGTACATATATCAATGAAAAATATTATTGGCACATATGGTAGATGCTTGCTAGTAGACATGAGATTCTTAAATACACTTATAATGCTGTTTCTGGAAGTTTTTCACAGAAAGATCCCTATCCATATTAGTACAGAATTTTTCAACTGCTGTGCTCTTAGTCTTTGGTTACAATGTTATGCAGACTTTGATGGGTAACAAGAAAGAACTTACTAAATGTTGCTTCTCCATGGTTTACGATGAATCTCTTTTCAACTGAGGGAAATAATGATATAATGGAAAGACAACATAATACTAGAAATCAGGGGTTCTGCTGAACTATACAGAGTTCATGCTTTGCTACTAATAAGTTGAGTGGCCTCTGAAAAATAAATTCACCTCTCCAGCTAATCAGTCCACTCATCTGTAAATTCAACTATAGTACCCTTTGTTCTGCATTCTCATTGATTCATGTTGTCAACTGTCACAATTTTCTAGGACACCAACTAATTATAATCAGTATAGTCACTAGAGAAAATTATATTGGTGAGATTTTCAATAGAGCCTTTTCCCCACAGAATATACTTTGTTATATCAACACATAGGTTCTTATTTTGTAAGAGTTTTGCAGTTTTTGAAGAACCTGCTAATTTGACTTAGATTATTCTAAACTAAGGGTAAGTTTTAGTTAGACCACATTTATGTCTTGCATGTAGGCACTTAGAACATGAACAATTGGATCATCTAAATTACAGGCATGTGAAACAATAGGCATAAATACATATTCAAAATAGAAAATATACTGTTTTGTATTAATTTCACATGGAATAAATTGTGTAAATCAGAGGAGGAAACATTAATCAGAAATTACTTAAATGTCAGGTTTTTTTTTTTTGGCCCCTTGGAATTTAGATTACCTTCTGAAACTCTTATGAAAATCATAAAAAGTAAACCATTATTCCTTAGCTTCCATTTTGATAATATTGCTCTGATGTTTGGATTGATGGTTTTCCAGATACATGTCTTATATCTTTACATATTTAGTATGTCACTGCATGTAAAGAACATTTATATAATTAGTGAGAACCTCGTTGCGGAGGTACAGATTTTTTGGGTAATTTTGGTTTAGTTCCTTTTTATTTAATGAAAGATGCTCCATAGACATTTCATTTTGTATGAAAATTTTATATTTCATATTTTCCTCTCTTTAGTTTGGATTACAAAGGATTCTAGGGGATGAAAGAAGTCTTTTACTATTGGCAAGAGCAATTGACCCCAAACAACCCAACATGATGACTGAAATAGTAAAAATACTTTCTGCTATTTGCATTGTTGGAGAAGAGAATATGTAAGTATTGCTGTACTATATTTATTGCATAGAAAACAACTCTTGAGATAAGTCTTTTAATAAGTCTTACTTTTGTTCTCTTTCATTGGATAACTTGTATAAAAAAGTATTAGACTTTAGGGAATTTTTGATTGACACTTTTGTCTTGTATATTTATATTGTAACAGTTTTTGGAGATTATGGAAGCTAGATTTAAATGGAATCCTACAGGGGAATTTTTTAAGGCAAATTTAAAGTGAATAAATAGAATGTTGTCTTGCCAAAGGTGAAGCCATCATTAGAAAAGTGGGCAAAATTTAAAAGTTAGTTATTTTGGCAGTCTTTCTCTCTCTCTCTCTCTCTCTCTCTCTCTCTCACACACACACACACACACACACACACACCATGCTGCACATCACACAATTTTATGTCTGTAGTTGAATTGAATATATGCTTTTATTTTAGTATAATTTCTTGGATAGCCTTTTAGTTTGAATACCTATGGTAATTGAAAAGATGAAGTACTTATTGATAAGTGAAATTAATTAACTTTTCTTTTTTTCTTTTTTTATAGGTGTGTGTGTATGTGTATGAATATGTATGTGTATATATATATGCATATATATGTATATATATGTGTATGTCTATATATATGCACCCAATTTACCAAGTTTTGCTGAGTATGTTTTGGATCATATATTCCTATGGAAATGATATTGAATCCAAATCAAAATTTCACATTTATTTCATTAGTAATTTTAGTTTGTAAGAAACCATTGTGTGAAAATTGAAATATGTACTATGGACATGAAATGAAATATTTTTCTCAAACCTTTGTGTGAGAGTAATAATTTCAGTTTGATTCAGAGGTGGACCATGCAAATATTTAAGGAAATTTCAATATGCTGACTTTCTCATAATTGTTAGAAAAAATGAGATGTTGTTTAGTGCTAGCTGTTGTCTTCAGAACTCAAAAGACAAACATTAAACCTAAAATATTACCTATAATGTTAACTCTTTTCTCAGTGAGAACAAATGAAGTAACATATGCAAAAGTAAAGTTTCCCTTGGCTTTATAGAAAAATCAGCTTATACATGAATAAGAAATACTGTTTTCTAGTCAAGTAGATTTCCATAACTTAATATGTAAAAGTCACCCTAGCCTGATATAATTATTAGGAATTAATTATAATTTCAGATATTATTTGATAAAAATAGAGTACTACATAGAGGTGCATTTGATTTCAACATCATATGGTATAGTTATCAATATTTTTATCTAGGTAAACAAATTTCTTGTGTTAGATAAGGATGTTTCTTCAATTACCTTGAATTTCACTTTTGGTTTCTTTTTTTCTTATTCTTTTATCAAATAATGTTGATTAAAGTTATTTTTAAAATATTCTCTCTGTCCAGAACTTTATTATTAAATCACAGTGTGTTTACAATAGAATAATCTAGTAATTATACACATCACATTATACTTAAGTGATATGAAGATCTTTATTAACACATGATATTTCAAAACCTGAAAATTTAAATTTTAATGTTTTTCTATCAAGAATTCTTTTGAAGGTATCACCCAGAAACATTATTTTTCTCAAGACTTTTCTAATTGAATTTGAATTTTCATGCTCTAAAATTATTTAAAGTTATCAGTATTCAACTTGTAGGAATATGTGGACAGTAGCTCAATTATTATATCGTAATGATCTTTCAGTTGGAAAGAATAAATCAAAGAGATCTATTGTATATTATGTTGTCTATAGCTGATAATATAATCTGTAATTGAGAATAGATGAGTAGATTTTAATTATTCTCTTTACACACACAGAGAGAGAGAGAGAGAGAGAGAGAAAGAGAGAGAGAAACACAAAAGATAAGTCTGTGAAGTACTGCAGATGTTAATTACCTTGATTGAACCATTTTACAATATATGCATATTTCAAAATATTATGTTGTACACTATAAGTATACACAGTTTTATTTGTTGATGAAAAAAATTAAATGATTTTAAAACATGTAATGACATACATAAACATTATGCTCCAAAAGTAAAACTGGTAAGACTGAAAGAAATAACCAATGTTCATAATATATGTGTAAGAAGTATTTTTCATTTCTGTTTCTTTTTTTTCCCCCTCTGTAGTCTAGATAAACTTTTAGGGGCTATAACTACTGCTGCAGAGAGAAATAACAGGGAGCGATTTTCACCAATTGTGGAAGGATTGGAAAATCATGAAGCTTTGCAATTACAGGTAAGTTAGTTTTGTCTTTTCTTCAGAAAATAATAAAACTTGCTGTCCTTTTCTAGGTGGTTCAGGAAATGATCTATGTTAAATTTATTCTTGAGGAATAAGAACTCATATTTATGGCGCAAATTTATGATATGAGCTCCTAGACTAAACATTTTAATTTGCATATATCATTTGATTTAATTCTCCCAACAACCCAGCTTTATAGGTATTAATATCATCTCCATTTTGCTCATAAGAATGAAGAGTAAATAACTTGTCTAAGGCGATACAGCTTGTAAGAGACGGAAATTGATACCAGCTTTTTTGGTCTCTGATGCTAATACTCTTTATTTTAGATAATGTATGCCATTAAATGCAACGTGGAAAATTGCTGAATGAAATTTTTTTATGCTGTTGAACTGTCATTCAGCAAAGACAACAAGTTTTTATATTTAATTTTATCAAATAATTTACTAGTATTTAAATATTAAAATTTCTTATGAGAAACTAACACAATTAATTTTCTCCTTTTCAAAGTTATATTCTGAAATATATCTTTTTTTCTCTAGAGTTTGAAATTGTATCAGATAAATGAATTGGCTTGTTTAAAGAGAATATGTGATGTTAAGAAACCTTAATGCTTCTTCAAATATATAAGTAATTTTCTTAATCATGTGTTCTTCTAGTTCAACTATGATGAACATTTTAGATAAACTTTTATAGTGTGATTATGTCAAAGGTATTACATATTTAAAAGTTGGAATATTTTCCCAGTTTTTTTTACTAATACATTTCTTCTTGCCATAAAGCTTTGTACTTCTCTTGTAAAGTGTCTTTAGGAGGAATTAAGTAGTTTTAGCTATATTCAAAGTTTTCATTACATTTTATATTTAGTTTGTCATACTTGGGCAAAGTACAATTACATATTTTAAAAATCCACCTTAAATGAATTTTAAAGCATAATTCTGTGAATTACGTGTTATTACCTCCAGTTTACTGATAAGGGAATTGATTTGCTGGAAGGCTAAATCCCATTGAAAAATCACATAATGGTTAAGTGGTAGAACTGTGATTTGAACTTAGGTCTTTGTGATGCCAACATTTGTATATTGCATTGCCTGTATTTTAATGTGACACCACTACCATAGATTAGTTTACCCCAAACAATGAGATGAGATTAATATTTGCTATCCTTCAGGAAGCTGGACACAATGGAATGATAAAAGTAGAAAATGTTTAACAAATAACATATGGAAAAATCACAGACATCTTGCTAAGTATTCAAGAAATTGTTGAATACTGATTATAGATGCAAACTACAATTTGAAATTTCCTATTCTAATGAGCTACAAAAATTAGTAATTTGTTATATACAGAGCCTTGTACTCTCACAAGAATTGAGTGAATTTGTTTATTTGTTGTATTTAATGTGAATAAAAAATATCCTTGAAAAGTTTAAAAATATATTCAGAATGCAGAAATGAAAAACAAAAGTTTAAATTCGTCGTTTAAGAAATATAATTAGTACAGTATTTTAACAGAATTACTTTTCTATTTTGGTAGTATCCTGAGACATCTCAAAATGTTATTATAGTCTCAGGAAGTAATTTTGTTAAAATACAGGACTAATTATATTTTAAAATAATAACTATATATACCCCTCTTTTATTTTAAAACAGATTATTGACTTCTCAGTTTTTTTCTTAGTCCATCTGTAAAGTAAACTTTTGTACCTGTGATAGGTTTTTCAAGAAATAGGCAGAAGATAAACCATCTATCTTGACACGTTCTATCTTTACTGTCTTCCCTTTAACTTAGTGTCATTCTCCAGTCTCACATCCTATGATGCTGGTTTTCATCTGAGTTATGCTTTTAACTAGCCTCTCATATTGCTTTATCATTTTATAGTCCATGTCTCTAAAAGAATAATCTCTACTTGTTTTCTGTTTTAAATTACCTTTCATAACTCAGATTTCTCACAGTTCTCAAAAAGGCATACTGTCATCCTCTAATTTCAAAAATCCAATGGCCTCTTTCCAGTGGAAGAATGCCACTGATATCTCGGTACTCTTCATCATCATCTTCTTTGAAAGTTTTTCTTCCTTTGCCTTCCAGGCACAGTTTTCTCTCTGCTTTATGACTACCTGTAATGGTTCTTTCTCTATTTTTTTTCTTTTTTGATACTGGGGATTGAACTCAGGGGCACTCAACCATTGAGCCATATCTCCAGCCGTATTTTGAATTTTATTTAGAGACAGGGTCTCACTGAGTTGTTTAGCACCTCACTTTTGCTGAGGTTGGCTTTGAACTCCTGACCCTCCTGTCTCAGTGGTATGCCACTGAGCTTGGCGTTTCTCTATTTTTAAATATTCCCCCACTTTTGACATTCACATTTTCTGTCATTGATCCTCTCTATTATCATTTTACATCCACCTATCCATATATACATATGTACTTATACAAATACATGTATATATGCTCATAGACATATACATATTTATTTTCTCCATACATATTCTCAGTTACTTCTCTAGTTTTAACGTGCAACTTATATCCTAGGAAATCTCCAAGTTTATAAATGCAGATCATACCTTTCTCTCCATTCACAGCTGTATATCCAGATACTGAACTAGTTATCTTACAAATGTTGCAAAAATAAGAAATTAAAAATAGCATTCATGAGGCTGGGATTGTGGCACAGTGGTAGAACACTTCCCTAGCGTGTGCAAGGCCCTGGGTTCAATCCTCAGCAGCACGTAAAAATAAATATTAAAAAAAGGCATTGACAACTACAACTAAAAATTAAATATTTAAAAAAAATAGCATTCATAATTGAAAATTGCCAAGTGTCAGACAATGTTCTAAATACATGTTATCATGTTTAAACCTCACAGGAATTCTAAGGGGAGATAGTTGCAGTAGCCCCATTTTATGGATAAGGAAGCTGAGGCCCATAGAAATTAAGTGATATTTCTAAGGTCACAGCATGGCATAATAGGAGATAAAGCCTAGATCAGATATCAAGGTGTCTGGCTCCAGAACAAATGCTGTAACTACTACACTGTACCTCCTTTTCCATTGAAACTTAGCTTATTATTTCTTCCTCTTAACCTGATTCATCCCAAGGAGTTCTAGTTTTCTCCTTGTGTTTTCCATTTTAGAATTTACAGGCATTTTTTTCTCCCCAAATCTTTAATTTTCCTGAAGACATTGTTCTTCTTTGCCCCTGTAGCCAGGCAATCATTATGTCTTCTTATTGTATAGTATAGACTATGACTATCACATTCTCTCTTCACTACTGCCTTTATCTTCTCCCACCAATATTATTTCAATAATTTCCTAATTAATATCCCATATTTTTACACCCTTCCCCTCCAGAAAAATGCTCTATGATGTTCTTAGTTATTCTCAAGAAAGAAATCTGATTCTACTATAAGCATATATTAGAAAAAAAAACTTATGTTTATTACCCAGTGCTATCTTGATGAAAGTGAAGACCTTACTTGTGACATATGAACTTTTTCAGCATGGCCCCATCTTAACATGATGGCCTTTTAGCCTGTTATTCTTCCCAAAGTACCTTGTGTTTTAATGAAACTAAATATAGTACTTCCCAAACAGTATATAGGCTTTGCAAATACCTTCATTTTATCATGCAGAACACTTTGTCTGAAATATCTACCCTTGACCACCAATATCCCATTACTCTTTGTAAAATTTAGTGAGAGCCCAAAGGAAGGTGAAATTAGGTATATCCTGCAGGAGACTGGGAAGTTTTCAGTGATGATAATTCAACTAGGACATGAAGGGTAAGAACATTCCAGAAATTATCTTCTCTAATACAAAGTAGTATTGTGTAGGATGAGAGGCAAGAAGTGCTTCTAATAGGTAATAATATAGGCTACAGTAGTATCCCAGTTACTTCACCAAAGAAGACAAAACAAGGTATTTTCAACATTTAGTTGAAACTTATATTTACATAGCCAGACAGGAGAAGCCAGGGTATACTGAGCATTAATAATTGTTTATGGAAAGAAAAAGTAGTATAGTTAACATCCAATGACATGATATCAAAACAGTCCCTGTCTTCATAGACTGCAATTAGTATGAAAGGTGCCATGTCCTTTCAGCATTTAGGAGCTATGTAGAGAAGTGTGTTAGTCTGATTTAATACATTTTAAAATGATTTTCTAACATGTCAAAAATAATAGACATGTTTTCCATGTTGTAATTGGATCTGGTACACAAAAACAGAGCAGTAAATACACCTGCTTCTAATGTGTAATAGCTTCACTATCCAGACCATACCTATTTAATAAATTCATCCTTTTGGAATATAAATGAGAACCAAAAAATGGTATGCAATCTGCAAAATGCCACCAAATCCATCTCTTAAGCTTCGTGGGAAGAAAGACCCATGAGCCTTTTATCAGCCTCTCATCCTTCTCCTTGCCCCTTGTGGTATCTTAATGAGCTTAATTATCCATTTTCCATCCATCTCAGACCAGAAGCACAAATTAGGAGAGGGTTTGTCCCGACTGTTGTACTGGGATCATCAAGAAGTGATGGCTGGGACTGGGGATGCAGCTCAGTGATAGAGCCCTTGCCTGGCATGCATGAGGCCCTGGGTTCCATCCTTAGCACCACCAAAAAAAGGGGGAAAAGTGATGGTTGATAGCCTAGCAACAAGAGAAGAATACTTAGAAACAAAAACATAAAAATACTGAAACTAGAATGCAATCAATAACATTTTATTTTACTTGTGCCAGGGCGAGTAGTCATGCATACTTCAATAATTCCCCAGGGTATCTGTGTTTCAGCAAAGCCCACTAACTCCCATATTTAATCTTCCTGATGAGTCATCAATAATTTATTTAAATGGTATCAACTATGATTTTTAAGAATGTGAGAATTATGTAACTCAGATCATGTCCTATGTGACCACATATGGTGATGTTTAAGTAAACGTTCAGGTATATGGAGTGATTTTATGTAGCTTGATTCTTTCCACATTGTTCTTA